TGAACATGTTTTATACTCTCTTGTTGTATAATTTACATATCAATTATTAAACTTCCCCTTCTTGCCCTCATTACCTAACCCAAATTGCCAGTTTACACCAAAATGCACCTCAGTGCTGCTGCTGGTGTCTGGTCATGTGTCCCCTATGCACAAAATAACCCCACCAGCAACCAACTACCTCATCCCCAATACCCGTTCCCCGCTTATAGTTGTTTTTTTAGAAAGAGGGGGGAGACAGGAGAGGAAGGGGAAAAAGGGAATAGTCCCCCCCCACCCCAAAAGTCAGAGCTAATCTTTTATGCTTTGTTATAGAAAATAGAGAGCAAAACCATCCTTGAGTTCCTGATGTTCCTGACCATCTGGATGCTCCTGAAAACATCAGCTGTGGATGCCTGGCTAGTAGCACAGCCCCAGGAGAAGGTGTGAATCACCCTGGCAAAGACTCTCAAACAAGACCACATGTGCTTGTCCATGGGCAGCGCCACCAACCCTCTGTCACCCTGCCTGCCCCAGGGAAGGCATCCACGCCCGCATCCAGAGACTCCAACACGCGGTCCAGGAACTCCAGACTGAAAAGGAGCCCCAGAGGTTTGAAGCCCTTTTTGGGAGCTGGGGACTCAAAGGATGGGTTGCCTCCCTCCTCAAAAACGTTTTTTTGGGTTTTCCTAATTATTATTATTTTCCCATGTATGTTTTCATGTTTTAAGAAGTTATTAGCCAAATCTCTGGGAGATGCCTTTTTAAGAAGTAAAGAAGGGGGAGTTGTGGGGGCCAGGAAACCGGCTAATTCAGAGATCCTGGCCCTCCCTTGGAGGCAAGGCACTTTGCTCTAAGAGAGAGAAAAGTATCACTCCCAGCAATCTTTGAGTTAGTTATGTTAAACTGTTACACTCCATTGGTGTTCTCCCCTGCCATCCCACCTCGATACCTGTATCCCAGTTTCCCCCCAGCCCCTCTCCTCCCCTATAAATACCCCAGTTTTTCCCCTGTTCCAGAGAGCTGCTGTCACTGGCTCCCTTCGCCGAGGGCCCGGCTGTAATAAAGGCCAGTTCTCTGCGGAACGCCACACAGCGCTCTGCTCTCTCCCTCCGTGTCGCCTGCACGCTGCCGCTGAGCTGAGCTGAGCTGAAATCACTCGCCGAGCAGAGGACGTGTCTGTGCCCCGGGCAGCCCAACCGCGGACCGCTTTTCTGGGAGTCGCGGCACCCCTGCCACCTCCACCACCACGACAACCTATGAGAAAGCACAGCTGGGTTCTGCTCAGGGCATTTCAAACTACCTGGGGTGTTTGTGACTTCCCCTTGCAAAGGCAGCATCTCAGGAAAACTCAAAGTTTCTCTTCATGGACTCACAGGATGTGTTGGGTTGGAAGGGACCTTAAAGCTCCTCTTGTTCCAACTCTCAGCACACTCAGGACACCTTCCCCTAGACCAGCTTGCTCCAAGCCCCATCCAACCTGGCCTTGAACCCTTCCAAGGGTGGGTGAGACAATCACAGCTTCTCTGGAACCTATTCTATTCCTCCCAGATCTAAAATCATACCAAACTAAGCAGCCTCAGAGATAGATTTCTATTAAATATCAACATTTTTCTAGGAAAGAAATATGGCAAAACTTGTTTGCAAAATCAACACAAGCTCTTCAGAAAGGGCTGCCGCCCACTTTTCTTATTTTTCCCCATTTGGTGGAACATTTTTATTCTGTTGTTGTTGGGAGCAGTATTTTAATGTATCTGGCTGAGGCTGCTTAAAATAGTCCAGCGAGATACCAGGGTGTGAGGGGTGGAAACCTGAGCTCTTACACATCCAGTACTTCTGTTGTTGGAAGTCTTCAATCCCACCTCTCTGGTGGGATGAAATAGGTGCTACTCATCTAATTTCTAAAGTATCATGCATCAAGCTGACACTATTTGAAGACTTCAAAATAAAAAAGCCAATTTAAACAAACCTCTGCTCCTTTCCATTTTCTCTGTTCCACAGTTTAGGACAGAAGACAGGAGAGAAAGATTGTTTTGGAAACAATGTTTTCAGGACTCTAAAAAGAATAGAAAAACCACTCTGCCACACTCTCAGCTGTTGCAGTGCCAAAAAGCACTGGCTGTCTTTGCTCAGAGAGTCACAGTTGTGGTGGGATTTCTACCACACCACAGGACAGCGATTTTTTTGTTTTTCTCCTGGAAATACCTGCAGCACTTCTGGGTAGCAAGGCAAACATGAGCCTCTTTTAATGGCCCTTGAAACTGGACATGTGAAATGAGGTACACAAAGCCAAAGGCCAGCTGAACCTGGGATCTCTGAATGGGTCTTCACATTCTTCCCAGGAAGATGAATGGGAATCACTATTTTGGCAGGGAAACTGCATCAGCTGTCAATTTGGTGTAGAAAATGTGCTTTCTGCTCCTCTCAGAGACAAAACTCCTACCCATTTCTTGGAAGTCCTTCTTAGATGAGGACCATGTTCAACTGAGTGGCAGAGAAACAAAATGGCAATCCAGGAATCAATTGTCCTGTACACAATCTCCTCCATCCACGTGGAAGGTTACTCACGGGCACACAGGAATAAGGAAGGAAGCCAAATGCATAATTGGACATAAAGTCAGATGTGTTGAGGGATGCACAAATCTTACAGAGCTATGGAAACCTCCCCTGAAAACCCAGTTCAGGAAGAGCCTGAGCTGTTTTGTGCTTCTAGGCCTGAAGATGCTCAGGATCTTTCCCAGATGCTCAGCAGGCAGTAGGATTGTGCCTGAATCTCGCTCTGGAAATGCCAGTGCCTCAACTGAGAGCTGTGGCAATGATTTCCATTGCATGGAGAGGGGCCACAGTCCTGCAAGAGTCTTTCAGCAGAGCAAACAGCAGCCTGGAGGGTGGGCAATGCTGCATCTGTACCACTGCATGCTCATCCTTCACCATAATGCAGAGCTGCCCCCAAAGCTGCCATGGATCACTTTTTACATTTCTCCTGTTGGATATATTTTGGAGAAGTTGTTCTAGGTGGCTTTGGATGGTGATCCTGTAGGAAGCAGCCATTCGCCTGCTATGATATCCTTACAACTAATACTAACTGCTCATTCCCTTTGGTTTTATTTGGGGTTTTTTATCGATGTGTTTGATTGGTTTGTTTGTGTTTGCTTGTTTGTGTTTTTGTCTGTTTTGGTTTGAGTTTTTTTGCTTTTTTATAAATGACTGGTGAAGTTGGCACAGCCAAACTCCAGAAAATGTAAACCAGGCTTGACTTCCCAGAAATTACTTTTGGCTGGGTTTAGCTGCATTACCCAGGATCAGGATCACCAGTAGATATTTGCAGGTTTTGCTCTGCATCATCAGCTTGCCCAGACTTTGCTCAGTGTTTCACAAATGGAGAAGACAATGGATATTTTGTCAAACCTCCTTTCAAACAACAAAACTTGGGTCAGCATGACAGAAAAGAAAAAAATAAAATATTTGCCAGTTAGAACAGAGCCAGAGTCCCACTGTTTTCCCCTCCATTTTTATTTATTTTGTACATTTAGAGGCAAACCTTCCATCTCCAAAAGCCTCCATCTCTCACTTCCTGATGCCATTTGCTACCCTTTAGCCTTGACCCCCACGGATCTGACTGCTGTCCATGTGGGGCTGGGGATGCTCAGCCTGGAAAGAGAAGGTGCTGGGGAGGCCTCCCTGCAGCTGTCGGAAGGATGGGCACCGAGAGGAGAAGGCTTTCAACTGCAGGAGGTCGATTGAAGTTGGATCTAATGAAGCTGCTCTTTTACACTCAGGCTGCTGGGGCACTGGCCCAGGCTGTGCACAGAGGCTGTGGATGCTCCATCCTTGGCAACATCCAAGGCCAGCTGGGAGCAGGGCTCTGAGCAACATATTCTGGGGGAAGATTGCTCCGCTTGGAACAAGATGGTCTTTAGGGTCCCTTCCAAGCCCAACCACCCAGGGATTCCATCATTCTAGGATCTCCCTTGTCCACTTCAGCCTGGGCCTGGACTCCTGGCAGTGATGTCACAGTGCACGCTCCAGCTAGAACTTCCAGCATCCAGCAACGGCCACAACACAACCCTTGGCTCGTTGTGTCAGCACGCTCTTCACCCTGCTCCAAGGCTACCCCTGTCACCTTGTTGTCACCTGCTCCCTCATACCCCCAGCAGTCCCTAAAGCTCCCCATTGCCTGGATTTTGCTCTCCATCCCTGCAGGATGTCTACATTTGTTCCAAAGAAGGTATGGTACTATTCTACAGAGGTGGACACCCCCCAACTGCCTGGGTGGGCTGGAGTTCTGTGGGAGAGTGTGGGAAAGGAACCCCACTCTGAGATTTTGCTACCTCTGCAGGCTGTCACAGACAGAGAGGAGGAGATGGAGGTGGATACACAGATTAATACAGAAGAGAAAATGGAAGTGGACAGAGAGGAGACTAGAGAGGAAAAGATGGATGTGGATGTGAAGGAGATGGAGGAAGAGATGGAAGTGGATACACAGATTGGTACAGAAGAGGACATGGAAGTGGACGGAGAGGAGACCAGACAGGAAGAGATGGAGGTGGAAATGGAAGACCACATTGAGGACATGGAGATTGATATGGAAGATGAGGAGGAGGACATGGTCTTGGGATGAAGACCGATGCCAGCAGCAGAACAGGCAGGTGCTCCCCACAGGCAGAGTGGGTCCCCTGCTGCCAGGCTGGGGCTGGGCTGGGCACTCCCTGCTCAGGGACACGCTA